GTCAGTATTTTAATTTTCTCGTTAATGAATAATGGGATTTGCTTTAGCACATTTAGGGACATTCCTAATTGTTTTTACAAGTGACCACTTTTTGAAACTTTGCTCAGTTTTGCGAGAATCATTATATCCGGCTTCACAGAAACGGTTGATGGTTCAAGCAGAATTTTCATTCTTAGTTGCAAGTTTTATATAATATTACTGTTGGTGATTAATAAATATTAATTACAAATAAAAAACATGTTGGTAAAATGGAAGCGTACAATTAGGCCATAACACATTGTATATATACGTACCATTTGGCCATAACACATTGTGTATATACATACCATTAGGCCATAACACATTGTGTATATACGTACAATTAGGCCATACCACATTGTGTATATACGTACAATTAGGCCATAACACATTGTGTATATACGTACCATTAGGCCATAACACATTGTATATATACGTACAATTAGGCCATAACACATTGTGTATATACATACCATTAGGCCATAACACATTGTGTATATACGTACAATTAGGCCATACCACATTGTGTATATACGTACTATTAGGTCATAACACATTGTGTATATACGTACAATTAGGCCATAACACATTGTATATATACGTACAATTAGGCCATAACACATTGTGTATATACGTACATATGTACAATTAGGCCATAAAACATTGTGTATTAGTTTAAAACATTATGTTTCGAAAGAAGAACTTAACAGAGCTTTAAAATAAGTATTGAAAAATCTGTATGGTGTAGGAATGGGAAGGGAATTCACACATCGTGCAGCCATTGCAGGACTGTTGATAGTAATATATTATAATACCATTGCAGGACTGTTGATAGTAATATATTATAATACCATTGTAGACTGTTGATAGTAATATATTATAATACCATTGTAGACTGTGGTTGTAATATATTATAATACCATTGTAGACTGTGGTTGTAATGTGATTCATCCTTTAAACAGTTTTTGTATAATTCGAATACACATGATAAATCAGATTCACAGAATTCTAACTCTGAACCAGGATGCTTACATATAAACATATTTTAGTTCTAAGAATTGCAGGCGTCGCCCCTATTGGCTACAGCATAGGGACGGAGTGAGGGATTTTTTTATCATATGAATGGCCGATAGTGTGTAATATGTTTTGTATATCATCGTTCATCGGAATAACATTAAAATCGTCGTAGACAAAAATATTTGCTAAGAAAATTGAAACTCTTTCATTTTTTAAATGAAGATTATGAAAGGGACTTCTTTGTTGAAAGAACTACGATTATAGTTTGAAATTTAATTTGAATAAAAGTTCAATTTTAGTTCAATCTATTAGTTGGATATATCTATTTAAAAAAAAATGTGAATCTTATTGCCATAGAGTTTTGGATTATATAAAGTCTCCATATCTAACTAATATTTTTAGAGAAATATCCTCTTGTGCATTTCATTTTACTGCGAAATTTCCGTTTTTCATTTAATTCAGATCTTTCTTTACTTGCTTCTATTTCGACGTTCCCCACTTCATAGTTCATCTACTGCAAACCCACTGTAATGATTCGCTGGCTTTTTTTTAAAATAACGTATTTCTTATTGATAAATGCAAATGCGTAAGAAACCAGGACCTATGAAAGGAAAACTGATGAGAATAGTTTGATAAGAAGTAAGATAATGCAAACGTTGTTCTGTTGGGTTTTGCAAAATGACTCGATTAACTTGTGTTTTTAAGTATACTGGTGTTTCTCGAAGTTTGCTCTATGTCATTTTATTTCACTTACAAATCCATAGATATATATTTTACCTGGGCAATCGGTACTCTCAGTAAGGCATGCCCTTCAAAAGACAACACAATGTATATACAATTATGTATGGCCTTGTTTAGACGTTCGACACCGATTACCCCGTCACAAAGAGTGGAAAACTCTCCGAATAATACGCAGGTATATATCTAACGCTGTGATGGCCGCCTGAGGCTGTCAGATGCTTTACACTTCAAGGCCGCTTAAACCTGTCAAACGTTCTCGAACCCATGGCTGCTTAAGCCTGTCAGACGATTTGCACCACACCGCCACCTGAACCTGTTTAATAGTCTGAACGCCATGCCAATCAGAAATACTTGTATATTTAAAATGATGTTACTTATACTGTTATAAGGTCAGATTAGATAGGTTTTAAGCTTTCAATTTTATTACGTGGCTAACAAATGGAACAATACCTGACATAAACTAATGATGGCTTATGTAACCTGTTGTGATAAATGGCCTCCTTAAACCATAGCTGTCAACAGAATACCTGTGTGACGCGTCTCTTAGTACTTAAGACAAACATGGAATATATAATTAGGTCAATCGGTGCGGTATCAAGCTCATCGTTAACCTATAAAGGGTAAAAACTCATAAATGTCTTTTACATTGGTTTCTATACGGTTCATGCACCTCCTTTTACGTTTGTATCTATAGGGTTCATGCAGGAGTTTAAACCAATTTGTGTTTCTAACGTTTAGCCCCTATCATCAGCGAGGGGTCCAGGAGGACGGGACAGCTCTATTTGACATTGCAATTCATTGTTGGCATACTGTATCAATGACCAGATTCTAAAGATTTATGTAAATATCCTAGATATGTTCTACCCATACCTACATCAATAACAAAGTAGGTGTTACAATAACATATATACATTATGTATTAGATGTTCTGGAAATGTTACTACTACGCAAAATAAAGTGTATTTGATATAAGTTATTGGGTCAGTGAAGAACCAAGTTATTTGCAAACACAATTTGTAACCACTTTGTAACCACTTTGTAACCACTTTGACGAGTGATGGAAGACACGATTCAAAGAGATACAATCTAAACATCAAGAGCTAAATGCAGTAAATAACTGTGTCCAATTGAGTACCAGTAAGTTAATGGGGACACGGTTTGGTGGTTTGTCCCAGTTTATGTTAATGGGGACACGGTTTGGTGGTTTGTCCCAGTGTATACCTCTCCGATAGATTTTTATGTCACTGTCTGACCTTGCTCACCTCACAACCTGAGTGTTGTTTTTGTAATCCAACTTCAATAAACTGTCAAATCAGGAACACATCTTATCTGACCCGTTCTATTATTCTGGAAAACGGACAACACTATAAATGTAAGAGAATGAAAACACGAAGAAAAGATATCCTATTGATTTGATTTTTTTCCGTGCCCTCTAAATAGACACGACAGTATGCGATTTTGCAGGTACGTTTCGCTTGTCCCTAATTTCAATAAGGCTGTGCTGAAGGTTTCGCTTGTCCCTAATTTCAATAAGGCTGTGCTGAGCGTTGCATTCATTCAGTTTGCTGAGTTTGTTGTAAAGAGAATATTACATAGAAAAGTTTCGGGAATGAAACACGACAAGTGTACAGCAAAGAGTAACCTTACATGTGTTCATTAGTATAGCATGCTTGAAGGAAAATTTACATTATTGTAATGTTTTTGAAATAAAATACACTACTGGCCATTTCTGTCCAATTATAAGTTACTATATATATATATGTATGTACTTAAAATGTTAAGACTTATCAATTGCTTTGCTAATTATGTACTTAATTATACACCATATATGGACCATATACATGTAGCTGCATCGTGTCTTCAGTTTATCACATAAACGACCTTGATAAAAATACACTGCAATTAAGATGAGCGATGATGACTTTCCAAAAGTTTAAGATAAACCACGGAATTGAAGTCCGTGGATAAACGGAGCTCTCAAATATAAGAGGTTTAAATAAAACATCCTGCAAGTAAGGAGTTTTGTTACATTGGGGTCTGTCCCTACACTTAGCAACACACTTGTGCTTTCGTTTTATAACATTTGTATTATTGTGGCAAAGTATATACAGGTGTTATGCCGTATGCATTGTATACATATAGTTATAATGTGATGCCATGGCATTTGCTCACATTTCTTGTTCGTCTACAGTTAATCATGAGAAAAGTTTTCAGATTGATAGTTAAAAGGTTTTCAGTTAGTTACTCATTGTTCTATTAAATATCATTACATTAAATACAACATGAATACAAACAGCATTGACACAAAGACTGACATGTTCCGCTGTAATTTTATCATGTTCAAATTCACAATTATACTATTCACATTACATACTTTTCAATGGTTGAAAATATCTATTCTATGATTATTTTTTTATATGCATGATAGAAATATATGCATCTCTGATTATTGTTATTCAACGCCTGTCGTTTGTGCTTTGTCGTTACCATGTTATTACTTTTCCTTTGTTTTAAGTCATTTCCGTCGTGTGATACTAAGGGGTTTGCAGTTAATGGCTGTAGTCAAGGTAGTATGTTGACGAGGTGTCATGGAAAGCACTTATCTGATCTAGATTATGTGCCACATTTCTCACAGAAGTGTTGTTGTTATTGTACAAATACACAGCTAATACATTTGACCTAAGCATGTCCAGTATACTTTAGTATATAGCTGGTGAATGTCTGCTCGGTAAGGTCAAGTAACAAGTCTCGTCAATTTCGGACTCCAACAGTGACGTATCCTACAAATAACGTAAATACACATTTTCACGGTCTATCTTTGATACATTGTGGGCGGGGCCTATATCTTATTAGTCTTGTGATTGACGTATTTAGAGCATATGTGCCTCAGGTTAGGGTGAATGGGCGGAGCTTATCTCTCCTAGCAAATTTACGGTGTGTCTGAAGAGTTTTGTTTTTTAAAGGAAAAGCTTTTTGTCATTCGTAATGATAATACAAAAAGCACAATATTTTTGTCACATTTCCCATTGAAACAATACCGAGATATTCCATTTAGACATCTGAATAGTTTCCAGCGGACGATCCATTAGTCTGAGGGCGGGCTACGTATTAGAGTGATTGACAGAGGAAAGACAAACCTCATAGATCCGGAATGTTGACAGCCTGGCCCTGAGGATACTTGAGGCGGGGTTTACAGCCTTACTGATGGACAGTGTGACAGGCGTGGAAATGTACTGAAACATGTTGAGGGTTTCCCAGGCAGTCAATATATTACCTAGCGAGTCCTGTGAGAGGAGACACTTCGTTCCACACGTGAAGGTAGGTACATCGTCGTTAACGTTAATATGTAATCATAAGACCATTTGGGTAACCATCAACACATGGCTGACAATAGATCCAATCAAAATCACCTACAGGAATACACAATTTTGCTATTAATTCATTTGGATTTTTACTATAAACGAGAACAACATTGATTACTTTGTATGAAAACTACTGATATGAAGGCTTTTCTCTTATCATTGAACGTGATTGTAATTTAAATGTTTATGTTTCATTTGTTCCCATGATCTATGCATGCAATTCTACCATTTCTGAGATTAAGTTTAATACGAACGTTTTTGTTTTCTTTCAGCCATTTGATCGATTTCCGTGCAGATTCGCGATGACTATCACACCGGCAGGTTCGAGCTGGAGTTTGTTGTCTTGGTCCACGCCTTTGCTTAAACGCAGGTGGAAAGGTTCGGAATCACAGAAAACTACTCAAGCGAAATGTAGTTGTGAGGAAGTGAACAAACGTGACTCGCATGGAAGAAGTCTACTTTTCTATGCAGCTCAATATGACCAACCGGAAGTTGCTGTTCAGCTTCTAGCAGCCGGATGTGACCCAAATGTGGGAGATAACGAAGGGAATACACCTTTACACGAGGCTGTGGACGCTGGAAGTAACGATGTTGTGAAGCTTCTCATCAAACAAGGTAGGCCTAATTATAAATTGATTTTTGATTGGAATAGCAGTTTACTGAATTGTCATAATGTGGTAAGTGTTAGGAAGAATAACGGGAGCTGTTGATCGGAAACTGTATGCGATATGGCTAAGGTATACAGTGTTCACTAGAACTACTCGCCGTTAGATTCTAAGGTATACAGTGTTCACTAGAAATACTCGCCGTTAGATTCTAAGGTATACAATCATTTATCTTGCTATGAAAAACACTTCAATACAATTGTCGCAAAATGTTTCATATATATATATATATATATATATATATAACTGAGGATATTTTAATGACGTTGTAACTACAGTATCAAAATGTCATTTTAAAAAATTGTGTTGGTAAAAATAAAACGAAATGATAACTGTCCATACATTTCATATACGGAAACGACCACAGGTAAAGATAAGGTCATTAGTCAAAAGAATTGCCTCGACATAGATGACATTTGTCATGATCTATTTGTAACTATACTGTTACCTGTGATTAATTGGTCAGAGACAAATAAAGTGCGGTGTGGTCGTGTAGTGTAGGCAGACTGACCATGCCTCGTTTACCTTTTAGTATATATCAGGTTGACGTGTAAGCCATGACTTTGTGGTAAAGGGTGCGACCTACTTCATCAACTGATCTTTCTTTATGTGTCATAGGTCATTCACTACTATAACCTAACACAGATATGCAAAAATCATGAAATTATTAACTGATGGTGACGTCATCCTAACTCACTGCTACCATCCTAGCCATCCAGTATAATAATTCTCATTTGACTCTGACAGACAAGTGTGTTCTTGGCCTAGCTATATATATACAGATCGTGCAGCAAAAAACACAATACGTAGTATTGCCTCGGGATCGACATGACTATTTATATAAAACAATTATATTATGTATTTTCTTTTGGTGGACATAAACACTTATTAACAATACGTTGTATTGATTAGAGATGAGAATGGCAAAATATTTTCGTTCTATTTTTCTAGTTAGACAAATGGTAAACAGGAACGTTTTTACGATTTTATTTCTTGTGCTTTGTTTAACAAATATTTTGATAAAGCATGCATGTTTTCTTACTCCAATCAATATGATAATTTAGGAAATAAGTTTGAAAAAGCAACAACTAAATTATAAATAGAATCAAAGAAAAGCACTTTCTTGTCAAAAAATGGAAGATAAATGCATGGCTTTAGAGGTAAAACGTGCGGTATTTGTCACGTGATATTTTTATTCTAAAAACAACACATGAAGGAGATATTGGTGACGATATTGTCCCGTTCCATGAAAGGTTTGCTGTGCATGCTCACGGAATCGTATTAGTGCAGAAGCTATATCATAGAGGACATCTGTTATAAAACAGACACACACTGCGTCATTTCACAAAAACAACGGTCTTTTCCTGTGAAATATACGTTTATGCATTTAAGGTATCAAACCTATCTGTCAACGTAAACACAATCACACTGAAGTATAAACATTTGTATCAAACACAACTACATAACCTTTTCAAACCTGAAATCCTCAAATTTTATAAAAATAAAATGAAACCTCAAGGTACATTCTTCAAACATTAATGGTATTGCAGTATTTATTTTTGATAAAAATGCAATCCCTAGTACATCGTACATGTATCAAAAACGACGCTGATTTCTGAATTCCTAATTCACTACCTCAATTTAATTAGCCTTCACATGACCATTTTTTATTTATTTTTTTAATCTTCAATGTTTGACCTCGATATGATTTGACCTTACAGGTTGCTGTGACGTTAACGCTGCCAACAAAGCTGGGGAAACACCGCTAATGTATGCTACCGTTAAAGACGACATCGAGATGACGAAGTTGTTGATTAAATCAGGTAGGTGTCAATGACTTATGACATACTCTAACCAATGCAAACAGTCACATAATTTAACTGATATCATAACTATCTGTTCAATATCTATGATGCTGTAAATATAGACATTGTGGAAATAGTCGTGGTTATTTTTCGTCAGAAAATGTGCGCGAAGGTATGAATGCGCGATTAAATCAATAGAATTTATAGATTATAGATATATAGAATATATCGATTTCAGAACTTTTGACAACGGACCAATTTCCACATCGTAGTCAGTCTAACGAGTTGCAACGAAAACATTTCTACATGTAAGAATCCATTGTATAGTAATATAAAGAACTACTTGTAGCTGAAGACAAATCAAACTTATCGCGAAAGTGAAGTGTTCTATCGATACATAATTATGTTCATTTATAAAGATTAAATCAGTATGCATACTGTTTTCTGCATTGATATATCAATGACAATTAAGAACATTAAAATCAATATCAATCTCGGAGATCGAGAGGGTGTTGTTCAAATGAAAGGCGTTCCAATAGAATTAATGAACTGTGATTAATATTGAATGAAAACGGATTATAATTATAGTAGGAATCATCCTTTCTTTGATTGATCGATGAATCCATACCTTTTTTATTTGTTCATGCTATTTCATATAAATATATTCCTTCACACAAAGTGATATACATATGTCGTTAATGGGCCTGGACTATAAACATCCCAATAAAAAAATTGTGTATTATATGTAAAACAAATATTCCCCACCAAAGATGGAGTCACGTTATTAATTCATGACGACCAAAACTGTCGGGACTATTATTGATGTTGTGGCAACGCCATTTGTCACGGGCACCACAAAAACAGCGACAAGGAAGTGTTGTCATCTGTCTAATAATAATGTGATCATAGGTCCACACTTCTTCCCACGGCGAAACGGTATCCCGCCATGACAGTTTAGTACCGTCTTTACGACAGCCGACGGATCGCAGACACATTTTACGATAAAACATTTATCATTGCAGGTGCTAGAATTAACGACTTAGATCACATGGGACGATCAGCGTTTCTGATTGGTTTACATCTGGGGACGGAGAGGTCATGTTTACATCTGTTGAAGTGTGGATGTGACGTCAACCAGACTGACCTTGAAGGTCACTCAGCGCTCTATTTTGCCACTTACGCAACTGACCTTCGAACCCTAGACATTGCCAGGAAAATACTCAAATCAGGTATGTAGTACATGGTTAACTGTGGACAGTGGCGTCAATGAATTGACCATTACACATTATATGTAATGGCCCTATCACGGACAGCTATAATGAGCTGTTTTATAATTTCTCTAACTTTACCAAACTGTGAAGGTACTCACTCATACAGTGTGCTACAAAATGTAGACCTCACGCAATATCCAGAAAATTAGTATGATCTGGAAAAGGGTTACTGTTAATCTGCATTGCTTTATATTCATAAAATGCAGTTAGAAAACAATTATACTGACGTAATGACGTATTTAAGACCAGAAGGAGCTATTCTTGAAAAACAAATCCCTTATAAATATCATAATGTAATAAATAAAATGATATTAAAACACATCTGCCAGTTTGTCATGTTACGTGAACAAATATTTCCGAATGTGACAAGAAAAAAGGACAATAAACTATCCCGAATGTTTCTGTTCGGTAGTTTCTGAGTGATGGACGGTGATTTTATTGCAATTTGTAAACGCCTCCACTGTGCACGTGACCCTTAAACCAGGCACGTGCACATTGCCCTTGTTTCTTTTTATCGGTGACACCGATATGTCATTGAGATATAGGTCGTTGAAGTGTCAGGTGGATATTGAGTGCAAGCACATACAATTATGCGCGGAAAACCAACATGTTTTATTTCTACATAAAGTCAAGTCTCCGATCCCTCTAGGTCTGTTTAAATTTTTTCCTTGTTCGTGTAACCCTCAACACTTACACTGACGACGTACCTAATTGTGTATGAGTATGACGACGTACCTAATTGTGTATGAATATTCATCAAATGAATTTGAATTACTCGACCTGTCTTGTTGCATTATTCTGATAACAAGCCATAACTTATCTTGTCACTCTGATAAAGACTTCCACTCCTGTCACTCCAGTAACATTCCATTGAGGCTACTCTCATACAACTACATACTGTAACGTAAATAAGTCAGGTTATGTACATTAAAACAATAAAAAATCAATCTGATCCCTAAAGATGTTCATTTAATAAAGACCAAATATGCATGGTACATTCTTCGAAGGTATAAGGTGAACTAGTTCTAGGTTAATGGTTAACATGAGTTTATATTTGAATTGTTAATAGTTTATTTGTTTCAATTTAAATCGTCTTCCTTGTATCAAGGTCAAATGACACATTCCATGTCCACGGCCCTATGCTATTCTTATTAATTCACTATCTTCTTTAATTTAAATACCCCATTAAACTTATTGAAGCATATGACACATCATTGTTTTAGCAATATTGATATCGTTGTGTAATGAAACGTCGTGAAAATCATACCACATACCACAGTGTTCGTTCCTCATTTCTCTTCACTAATATGCGATGCACAATTAATAAAATACAGTTGTGGTTTAAAAATTAAATTGTATTTATTATCTTTCAGGGTACACGGCTAGGAAAGATACGGAGTGGCTGAAAAAAGCTGGGGAGTGCCCTTCTTGCTTGTTTCAGCAAAATGAAAAATTCTACAAACAGGTTCTGTCTAAAGCTGGAATCAAAAGTAAAAAAGGAGAAAAGCCGGAACTAATCAAAACAATCCGAGTGACCTACTTACAGAAAGTGTTTCAAACTCGGGGATCCTGATTGGTGATATTGATGTGATTGAAGATATGCAAATGATATGTTAATTTGGCGGCGGAATTAGCATAACAGTGTCCATAGACGACAGGTTTGATTCCCCTTGACTTTTACACACAAAGTGCTTATACAATGTATTGGAACTTACTGTATGTTGATGAACACTCCTTGTGAATTGAAGTTATTTACTTAATGCATCCATCGTGTATTGCTTGACCGCCTTGTTTTACGTGTGATCTAATGGCAGGTTGATTGTGAAGGACGAAAACCAAAATTTTAAACAAAAGAATTGTCTGAGATATTACAAACGTGCTGTTACCACGCCGAGTTAGTACACTTACAGCGATGTGTTATCGATGGTTCGCTGTTCTGAAAGCTTGTGCAAAATCTTAATATGAATCATGAGACAAACACAAAACACTATCTTCTGGACTATTGGAATTTATATTTAGGTATAACAAGAGTTAAGGTAAAATTTGAAACTGCAAAAGTCAGGAAAATGTCTCCTTTATCAGAGATGTGATGTAATCGCTGGCTGATATCACAATCAGGTCAAACCTGATTTCAGAAATGTTAAATGATTGAAAATGTCACTTTTTTACAATGTTTCTCTGTAGAAGACGCTGTTTTTACTAACTCATTGCATGAGAAAATGTAAAATAAGAAATACCAGTAAAATGTGTGCATAGGTAGCATTATATACCTGAAGTTGTCACGGTTTCCGTAATTGGTAAAGAGAACACAGGTAAATGTTACCGACATAGCTAACTAAACTGACGTTAGATGACGTCATTTACTGCGGACTAGACTTCTATCACTGCGGAGATACCTGGTGTGACTTAGTAATCAGTTAAAGAATCCATGTACCCCTGCCAAAAGATGCACTTTTTCAGACCTATATATAGCTTAGATAAGAAGTTTCTGTAAAAAAAATGTCTTTCATGAAAGACATAATGATGACTGAACAAAATTCAGCAGTAGTTGAACGTTCTGGAGCTTTGCCATCAGTGGACCGCCGATCCTTAAGCCGATGTAATACATCTACCGGTGGTGTCCGTGTCCTAGATTTAGCGCCTATAAACATGTCGGAGATAGCTACGTCATTGCATTTTGATGTCCGACGGTCAGTTTATTAGGACATGTTAACGGCCCGATCTGACAGTCATTTGTAGTCTATACTACTGGCTGGAGTGGCCGGAGCCGAACGCCATTTCCTGGTGTGAGGTCGATTTGGACAATTATCTGATATATATGACTTTTTTATTTGTTTTGCAATATTAAAACTACGTTCACGAAAGCTTGCTTCTTTTGTTGGTGTGATTCTGAACCTGTTCACGGTTCCGTGTTGTATATGTAATAAATGTTTATCAAGTCCCAACCTTTCTGTAATACTACATTTGATACATTTTAATAAAAAATATATATATACATAAACGTGCTGGTTATTGTCATTATTAGCGGACTTAGATGCCGAACTCTGGCGTCCACGTCACCTGTCTGTAGGACATATCTATCGAATTTCTCAGCATATCAAGGAATACTGGGTTATCCTAATTTCATTATTCAATTTGCTTCACGTTTTAATAAACCCAGAAACTAGAAAACAAAATAGGCTTGAAGGAAAAACATATATCAAAGGAAACAAAAAGGTCCATTTAGTTATTAGCAGAGCAACACATGGATTCTACAAATACCATTGTTCCAGTGTATTACCCTGATTTCAGGTAAGTAATTAATCCGAGGTCGAATATGTAATTACTGTACTTTGTAAACGTTATATAAGATATATTACTGTGACACTTCCAAAGGTCTCCACTCTCAGAAATCAGCGAGATGTTTCATACGAGAGGTAACTTAAATATGGTAAATATGTCACTATGTACCGATTATAGAACGGTTCACGGAAATGTACGCTCTTATATTCAAATAATCCTGACATGATAGGAAGCATTTTTAAGCACGGCGCTCGAATTGAAAATCAAAAATGGGAATGTATATTCTCCTATATGTCTTTATCATATGTATATATACTACCGTTACTGTACCCAAATAGGGACACTTGTGGGTAAACGGACCAAGAAAACTGTCATTCAATGCAAAGGCGTACTTTTATGTATACAGTTTTCATTTGATAACACGTTTCATGACAATTAAACTGTATTAAGCTTTATTATCTGCTGATTATCGTTACATCGACAATTTAAAGGTAAGAATAATTTCCAAAACAAGACTTTCCTGATTTACGTGCGACGTAATTTATTTGGATATCATTTTCAAAGGTATATTTTATCAAAACTAATACTAGTTTGGAGAAGAAATTTAATCAGAACCCTTGTTGACTCTAAAATATTTCAGCTGTGCATATTTTCTGCCGATATTGATCGTTTATCCCCAAATATTTGCCAAAATACCGAAAGTGTCCCTTTCAGGGTACAGTGACGCCGGTTGAAGGGCATACGTAAATATGATGGTATTTCGCGTTCTTTTGTATAGAACCACCAGCCCGAAATATCAAATTGTGATAGAAATGTAAAGTGGAAAGTATCTATTTATGAAAAATGAACAAACATTTTTTTGGATTGATAGTATGGTATAACGAACATTGATATTTATATGAAGAGTGTCCCGATTTGGGGACAGTGAAGTTAGCAAGGGAAGGGACTACCCTTTAAATGTACAACGGACATGCGTGTTTCGATGTAGAAAATGAAAAAGGGGCCATATACAAAAAATGTATCTGAACAAGTAGAAGGTTAAGCCTTAGACACACACATGGGACTACACCTTTAAAACTCGGTAATAGATCAAGTATGTCAACAGTGAAGTACACTACACCATACAGCTGTTTGGTCCTTCTACGACTCGTCGGTGATGCTGGGGGCCAAAAAGTTGAAATTCAATTGTGTCTAAACTGTTGAAACAGAAAGGGAGGTGCATAAGAGTCCCTTAGTTTCATGAATTCAAAAACTTACAAGAGTACTGGCAAATTTCAAATGTTTAGAACCGTGCCACTACCCAAACGAGATAACTGTTGCCATAAAGGCAAACCTCGGAGACTAAGACATCCACCAGCGGAGACTTGAACTTGATAACAGGTATTTGTGTTGGGACCTTATCTTAAAAACACATCTGACAGGTAAGGTAAGATCTTGTCGCCTTGTAACAAACATACCAACACACGTGTACAGGAAATTCAATATCTGACAGGAAAGGTAAGATCTTGTCGCCTGGTAACAAACATACCAACAAACGTGTACAGGTAATTCAACATCTGACAGGTAAGGAAAGATCTTGTCGCCTGGTAACAAACATAAAAACACACGTGTACAGGAAATTCAATATCTGACAGGAAAGGTAAGATCTTGTCGCCTGGTAACAAACATACCCACACACGTGTACAGGAAATTCAATATCTGACAGGGAAGGTAAGATCTTGTCGCCTGGTAACAAACATACCAACACACGTGTACAGGTAATTCAACATCTGACAGGTAAGGTAAGATCTTGTCGCCTGGTAACAAACATACCAACACACGTGTACAGGAAATTCAAGATCTGACAGGTAAGGTAAGATCTTGTAGCCTGGTAACAAACATACCAACACAGGTGTACAGGAAATTCAATATCTGACAGGGAAGGTAAGATCTTGTCGCCTGGTAAAAAACATACCAACACACGTGTACAGGTAATTCAAGATCTGACAGGTAAGGTAAGATCTTGTAGCCTGGTAACAAACATACCAACACAGGTGTACAGGAAATTCAATATCTGACAGGTAAGGGAAGATCTTGTCGCCTGGTAACAAACATACCAACACACGTGTACAGGTAAGTTAAGATCTTGTCGCCTTGTAACAAACATACCAACATACGTGTACAGGTAATTCAATATCTGACAGGTAAGGTAAGATATTGTCGCCTTGTAACAAAAATACCAACACACATGTACAGGTAATTCAACATCTGACAGGTAAGGTAAGATCTTGTCGCCTTGTAACAAACATACCAACACACATGAACAGGTAATTCAATATCTGACCGCTCTATAACAGTTATATTAGGCATACAGTGTACGTAGTTTAAGGCGGTAAATTCCTACTATTTGTGTTTTTATAAAGTTCCTTTATCCATTGTTGTCTATCTTCTAACTTTTTAGTTATCTTTTACACTGTGTTTTACTGTGTGCTTAAATAACAGATCAAATAAATAATTTAAACTTGACGTGTGGTTTTTATATTTTGTCGGTTAATGATTTAGTAAGTGATTGATTGACATTTATTCCTAAGGCGAAAACACAGACCTATTGTTTATTGTACTTACATTCCAAGTCACCTGGCACTATTTATCTTCCTTAAACGAAATGTTAAAACCTTGTCAGTATTTCTTCCTATATAACATTAGTTGCATAAAGATATTGCATTTCTAATTATAGATGTCTGTTATGGAGTGGACACACAATGACTTATTTCATGTTACCAAATATGTACCAAAGGGTCCCATTGCATCAGTTATAATCGTGAAAACACGTTCACATAGAGTTTAGTTTTTTGTTTTTATTTTGTTCTAGTATTTGTGGTGTTTTTTAGTGGTATTCCTTCTATTAAAAGATAACGCAGATCAAACTATTTGTCTGGCTAAGAACAACCTAACCTGTCAAATTGTTTCATATGTTTTGCGATTAATCAACTGGAAAAACATTGTGATGCTTTGCTTGAAAATGATATCGAGGGCAACACTGGTAAAGTTACAATGTAAAGGTCATGTGTTCGATATCTGGGTTTCATTCCGTTTTCAATTTTATAATTTCTAATTTCAAACATTTAAATGCATCGCAACATGTGATTTTTTGTTATAGAATACTATATATAAAGGGATTTAAACAAGTACTTCGCTATAGTGACAATGGAACAAATGTGATAATACTGTGGTTCTGTTTGTACCATTTTATCTTAATTGATACTGGTACCGGAGGACTCATTATTAGGACGACCTTCGTATGACCAAATATAGACCTACATGGTGCTAATGTTAGAAACGGAAATAAGGGACCACGCCAGCAGCACGAATACATATAGAAATAAGGGACCACGCCAGCAGCACGAACACGTATAGAAATAAGGGACCAGGCCAGCAGCACGACTACATATAGAAATAAAGGACCACGCCAGCAGCACGAATACATATAGAAATAAGGGACTACGCCAGCAGCACGAATACATATAGAAATAAGGGACCACGCCAGCAACACGAATACATATAGAAATAAGGAACCACGCAAGCAACACGAATACATATAGAAATAAGGGACCACGCCAGCAACACGAATACATATAGAAATAAGGGACCACGCCAGCAGCACGAATACATATAGAAATAAGGGACCATGCCAGCAACACGAATACATATAGAAATAAGGGACCACGCCAGCAGCACGAATACATATATAAATAAGGGACCACGCCAGCAGCACGAATACATTTAGAAATTAAAGAGCACGCCTTCTTTTGGATTTATTCTTATTTTTAGCCGCATATAGTAAACCTCTCGTAAGACTTCTCGTTTCCGTATGGCGATGCATCACTGGCATCATGTTGTGTTAAAATGAAATCTTATAAATATAACCTTGGTCAAATCGTACCGTCCCTTTTACTGTCGTTATTGACAGGCTCTCTATTGCGTCAGGCTTATCTATTTTACTGATCTCAAGATAAGAGGATGTAAACAAAGACAAAGACTTGTTCGTCCTTATGTTATTGTTTTCTTCTCTGGGATTTGGAAATGTTTGATGACACATCTCTTAAACGAATGCATTTGATGTGACAACTTGTCCTTTGTTTGTCTATTTATAGAAACAGACAGTTTTCTGTTTGAATGTGGGAAACCCTCTGTTAAGGAGTAATGGTGATTGATGTGGGTGTTATTTTCTATGGAAATTAACATTGCATGGCTCCAGGATGTACAGTGTACAAGCGCAATATGACACGGACAATAAATTAGAAATGAATTGTGTATTACACAATATTATTAAATTAATAACAATGATATAGAAAATTGATTTAATCCTTATCAATTTAAAAACAAAATCTTAAAGTTCTATGAAAATAGTCGACACAAATAGTATGATGTCACATCAAACGAGTTATTTGTGTATCAAACTTAAACATGTATCAACATGATGATTTTTATAGACAAATAATAACGATCTCTTATTTCCTGAATAGGGTTGGACGACTTTTCTACGAATCTTCTGCCTCCATGTATTTGGTTGTACATGGGTGTTTGTAATCGACATGAGTAGTCTTGTTGATACGTTTGGTAGAACAGGTTTCTTGAGGTCGCTAGAAAATGTCCACGCAAACTTAAGACGTGAAGAAGCGTGTACTATAGACGGTACATATATTATTGAGGCAGCCAGTGCAAGGAGTTCAGG